GAATCTACTTTGAAGCTACTCCTATGAATCGAAGTGCAGTGCGGTATTTAAAGTGCAGGTATTTAAAGACTGGAAATGTAAAAGACTGGAAAGAAAATATATGAAGTAAATGACTGTTTGTGATGACTGAGTCCGTCCTCTTTTTCTGGGGCTGCCCTGCTATTTATACTCATCAGTGATGACCTTCGAACTACACTTCGAACCGTCGAACTGCTCCTCCATGATCGCTGATCATGCTTCCTTACAAAATAGCCCCATTACGCCATTACTGGCAGTTGAGCTTCCCTCTTGTACTTGAATTTGAATATGAGTAACCGTTGAAAATATGTCATCTTGCATCCCGTTATTGATCTAGTGTTACTCAGATCATGTGAGGACCAATATTTATTGCCACGTGTACGATCAGGATTAAAGCTTGAATAACCTTCCTTTATTACCCTTACTCTGCCACGTGTCGAGCTGTAACTGGCTTTTACAAAATATGTAGCCAACATTACCCCCCGCACTAATATACCCATACTTGGTGATATTAGTGGATTACAGTTTTCCCGCCGCTCTAGATCGTGTATGGAGTCCAAATTCTGGAAATACAACCGTCATCCATTTGGTGATCATTTGCATTAACTCGTTGAACATCCCAATACCTTAGTATTCGAACAGGCTATGGCTGCATCAACTTCCCTTACTACTGATCAAGCATATGAAGAGCCTTTGAGTGATGTTATTCCTCCTCGAAAGATCTCCACGCATTCATTAGCCACCTTTACCGCCCTTCTCTATTCAGGTAATGGAGGCTTTTGCAGATTATAAACCTTTGGACTACGAACACATTGCCTTTAATCCCTTGGTTTACAAACTTACAGACACAAAGAGTTCTTCCCCTAAGCTCCCTTTATATTTTTGACCAAACTACTCTCAAGCCTTTGCTTCGACAAGTTGCAAATATGGACTTAGGAAACTCTTCTTCACAGACCTCTGCATGGGATGAAACTGTAACCTCTTCACCCTCTGGGCTTTCGCTGGACAAGCTGGTCAACTCCTGAGACTTATGATTTAAGGGACTGAATCAATCACCATTTTGTTGAGTTTCACTGACCCTTGGAGTTTCCCTCCTACGCCTCGAAGCTTCAGTGGTCTACCTTACGTGCCATTGACCTTCGACGTTAGCTGAAGAGACTCTACTTGTGGCTTGTGTATACTTCTTCCATGCCTACAAAATAATGCACCCTGCCGGGTCCAGAAGAAGCACAAGGACGTATACCCCTTCTTCTTAGCCAAGAAGGCGAAATTTGTTCTTCTGATTGGCTTGATTTACATTAATGCCTTTTTCCTTCTGCTCCCGTGCATCTCCCATATAGAGGCATCCACACCCTCTTCTGCATCTTCTGAGATAGAAACACTACTCCCTCCCCTTTGTCTTCTGAAGCAGAACATCTACTCTCTTCCCATCTTCCGAAGCAGGATCATCTTCTCCTTCTCCTTCTCCCATTCTTTTTGGACAGAGAAACTAAGACTCTGCCCTTCCAATGGACAAAGTTTTTCACCTTACCAACCTCCGTCACCCCCTTCTCCAGCGAGCCGAAAGCAAAGCTCAACTTTTGCTGCGGCTTTGCTCCCACCGCCCTTCAATGTTCTTGAGGATGACATTCCTTTTAAGAACTTTCAATGGGCTTGTGATGTTCTGACTAGGGGTCATGTCCTCAACCCTCTTGCCCAAGCAGAGCTTCATTTGTTTTGGACCAACTCCCAGTGCTCCTCTACTGGCATCGGAATTCTAAGATCACCACCCAAAATCTGGATCAACTTTATCTCTCCGAATTCATGCCCAGTATGAAGCAGAAAATTTCATCGAAGAGTTCGATGACTTCAAGAATAAGATTCTGCGTACTGGACGATTTGGTTATAGATGAATCGCGAACAAAAATCGAGGGAAGAGGCTTGAACCAAGGCTGAAGAACTATTATGAAGTGAGAGCTCATCAGCTTATGCAGCCAACTTAGAAGAGATAGAAGAAATAATAAAGAAAGAACAAAATTTATTGACCATTGCTGGACAAAATTTCATGACCTCGTTATTTATTCTATTCCTTATTTTTATGAACTTGAATTTGTACCCAGATAGGTCACTTAATGTAATCGTCTTGGCTTTAATATAAACAAAGTCTTTCTGTACTTAACACTGTTTGACTCTGTTTCCTTTTACTTTAACAGCCTAACTCGTAACTTCGAATTTGAACAATCTCATCCTTCGAATCAATTGTTTAATGAAGTACTAAAGAACCAATCAGTCTTTTTCCAATTCATGGAGTAAATTGACAATTTGGCAGATAATTTAGTATTTATGAATTCAGTACTTCGATTCAATGATTTTACTCTTCAACACTCAACTGTAACCAATATATGGTCATGTGTTGATAAGCCAATCAATTTTAAACTGATCTCTTTTGGCTTCGAGGGCAACCTATGGTAATTCCTTCTTGTCATATAGAAACCAATGATTGGTCTTGGCGATGTTCGATTTCAGTGCTCTTTCTTAAGAGTCTAAGATATTTCATCGAGTGAATTGTCATCTTTCCTTACTCTGTTAGATTCAAACACCGGGTTGAATTTGAGAACATGACTTTGAGATTCGTGCGCAGGAATGTTGTCATTGATGATACCTCTAGGATCAAATCAGGGTCTTCAGTAGCCATTTTTCATAAGATGTTAGAACGCATTTGTTTAGCACGACTTTGAAACCATAGTGTGCAGAACGATTCATGCAAAGAAGTCTCAACAGTGTACAATATTCACAGTGACAAGAGCCCGTTGAGTATGCTGATGTGGCAGTTTTCGAAACAACCCTGAGCAAGAGGGTACCAAGCCGAATCGGAAGGAGTAGGATCTCGCCGTGAAGAAGCTTTGTGGAGTAACGGGCAATGGATTTCTCCGCCAAATCAGTTGCAACAAGCCGTTCTCTAGGACACAGGAGGGGCTCAATCAGGAACCCATTTGGCATGGGACTTGCACACTTTTACCCTTTGAGAGGCTCGCTGGGCCGAAAACCTGGAAAGGGCGACCCAGGCAAAAGTTAGAGCAAGAGAAAAATACAAAAAAAGAAAAGGAAGAAAAAAAATGCAAAAATCAAAAAAGAAATGGAATAAAAGAGAAATAGAAAATGGAAAGGAAGCTCGCAAGGTCGAAAAACCCGCGTGGGCGCGCTTGGGCAAAATGAGAGCGAACCAAGACAAAGGTTTTAAGGTCTTAAAATAATACTCACCGAGGGTAGTACATCACTTTGTGTCGTTAGCTTACGTAAGGCTTGATTCCCTGTTTGGTGATACGTAGGCACTTCATCATGAAGTCCAGCCCCAACGCTTTTATAGCGTCTTCAAGTCCGTGCAATTGGTTTCGACGTTTCATCCACAATTAAGTAGATTGCTGTTGTAAACCTCTCCGAGGCTGAGTTCGGACCGTTGTAAGTGTTCATTTTTATGAAATACTTCAGTTGTTCTTCATATTACTGTTATTTCTCTTAATTTCTCCTAAGTCAAGCCACCAGTAAAAGTCCTCTTCATTGAGGCTGAAAAGAACTAAAACACAATCGTCTGATAATTGGTTGGCAATCACAATTTCTGTAAGGACTGATTGATCCTTGCTGGCACGCTCACATTCACAAAACTACCCTTCGAAAAGCCAAAAAGCCAACAGTAAGCAAAATACACAATTCATTTTGAAAAATATAAAAGGAAATAACTATTGAAATTAGAATAAGAAATTGTATTATTTTTCACTTCAATTCCGATTTGCTTTTTTTTTGGTTGAATCCAAAATAACTATATAACCAAAAGTCATGCAATGGGTTACGCTTCTTTTTCAACTCCATGTATCAATTATACGCGTGATTGGGAATACTCATGCAAAGGATGTTTAGCGTCTTAATTACATTGGCACTCTTTAACTATTAGTGAATAGGGATTGGACCCTCTCTAGTTTGATATTTCAACCCATTTTGGATATATTTCGATAATCCAAACCGTTAATATATAGGACTCATCGAATATTTCATACTTGTGAAAAATCACATTGATCGGATGTCAATAGTCACTTGATCAGATTATATTTGTGTCAATTTATTTTTAAAATCATATTTACCGTTGACACCCATTTTGGATCCATTTCGATAATCTAAATCATTCAATAAGTTGGACTCGTCGAATATTTCATGCTTGTGAAAGACACAATTATGATCTAATCAAGTGTTATTGATATTAGATCAACATAATTTTTTACGAGGATGAGATACTCAACGAGACCTACATATTGAACTATTCGAATCATCGATGTGAGCTTCGTGATGGGCCCACGGAAGCCCAACAACACACTCCAGTTCAAGGAGAGAAGCCACTACCTATTGAATATTTTTTTTTTTGATTGGCGAAAGTTAGTGGTTAATTGTTAAGTTAGCATTTCAAGAGAGTTAAAACTCACATCCGTATACCTTGTAAAAAAATATTGTTCTCCCATTCTACTCCTAAAAGTAGAACCCAAAACCTCCACCTTAGGAGAGACTTGGTAGCCAAAAGGCTAACCAATTAGACTAGAATCCCTTGGTTCCCTGCCTAATGTATATTACTTTACTCCTTAATTTATTGTCCATTTAGACTCGTTAAACTATAAAATTGCATATTTTCACCGTTGTAAAAGGTGTGTTTGTATAATCTTCTTACGAGTTCTAAATATACGATTTAGAAGTTAAGGAAATAAATTGATATTCAATGATAGTTAATTGAGTGTTTATGTAATTAACCATATCTAGTGTGTTAGGTTTTTGTTATTGGCAATCCCGTTTGACAAAAAACTCTTTTCAATTATAATTTTATTTGATCTTTTATTTAAGTGAGGCTATGAGTATTTAGATGCGAATCTAACTCAAATTGTGCCTATGCAGAGAAGTTTGTGATCTTAATCCTATCTTGTTTGCCACTTTGCTGACTATGTCGGGGATCGAGCTATTTTTTCACTCAAGCGCAAGCGGCCATTCCTGCACTCGAACGGAGATCGCAACCTTTCAGATGTTTCACTCGCCTGCAAAAGTGCTGGGAGTTGTATTTTTCTGCTTAAGCGGCCATTCTTGCGCTCGAGCGGAGATCGCAGATCTGTTTGTTATAAAAGCTGCGATTCAGTCAGGTTTTAGGGTACGGTTGCTAGATCTTCTTTTTTGGTATTAGGGTTTTCATCTTGAGCTTCTTTGCTTGTTTCCATTGATATCTATGAAAGTTTAATCACAAATTGAGTGGATTATATCAAATGGTTTGTTTAGTTTGTTTTATTAAAAAAAGAAAGAGTTGTTCATCGGTATTTTCCATGGAATTTGAGCCCGAAACTTTGGTGGATTCCGGAGTGGCTCATTGTAGTGGATTCGACATCGGCGTTGTGAATTCAACGTTGGGCAAGACAACTCCGAGTTGAAGACAAGGTTGGCAGAGGCATATAGAGGTCGATTCGATTTAGGCGTGAATTCGCTAGATAATTGAGAGTACAATTGTGTAATTCCTTTGTGTCTTCTTAGTGAATTGTTTTGTGACTTTGGCCTATGATTTTTTATCACAATTGGAGGCACTCCAATTGTGGTTTTTTCACGTTAAAATCATTATGTCGATTTGTCTTGATTGTTTAATTGGGATTGTTATTTACTGCTTTAAATTGATATATAATCACAAATTAATATCTCCAAGATTTTTAAATTTTTCATAGTGATATTTACAAACGAAATCAAATTGATTTTAACTTATTTAAGATATAATTTTGCCATATTAATTGTAATAAAAAACTGCACTAAACACTCACGTATTTTTCAAATAAAAAAGAAGAAGCTATGAGCAGTCCCATAAGCCACACGAAACATGTCTTAAATCATTTCTTATAATTTATTTTTATATATTGTAATATTTCAACCATAGGTTAATAATATGTAGAGCAAAGATGAAATAATTTTCTCATAGGTTATATCAATATTTGTTTAAAATAAATAAAAAGTATTATTTTTAAAATTATACTTGTTATCTATTGTTTTTTAAGACAAATATAATGAAGTTATGTGATTGACTATCATATCAAATCCCTTTTTTTTTTCATCGACAATATGTACACAAAACTCTATAAAATAAACGCTTTAGACAATTAGAATGAGAACAATGAAAGACACAATACTGAAGCTTTTCTCCTTAACCCTTATTATCTTATTGTATTTCTACATTTCAAATAAATAAAATTTGTTTTTTGCTAATAAAAAAAAGCACTACACTGGACTTTCTCTTTACCTAGGTCTATTGTTGAAGAAGAGAAAACAATGTGACGAGACAGTTTGATAGTAAAGAATTATATCATAGTCTCATAGAATAGAATAGAGATAAGGGATGGAGTCGCTCCACAGATGTGAACCTATCTTTTTATTTTTATTTTAAAATTTAATTATGTACATCTAGCGTAGTTCAAGTGTTGTATTTCGAGATTTCTCTAGAATTTGAATTCTTAAAAACAATCAAACATTTAATTATATTATCTTTAACTTAACTTATTAATCCGCTGAGAATAAAATAAATAAATAAATGTGAAACAATAATGGAGCACTTGGGCAAGAAACAACCACATGGCATGTTAAAGGCAAAGGACAGTTTCATGTCTTTAATGGCCCAAAACCTCTAAAATAATGGGCCATCAACCATTTTAAGGGCACCCTAAAAATAGGTATTTCTACACAAATATATAGACTCAAAAACCAAATGCAAAACTAATAGTAACTTCAAAGTTTCCAAACATTATAGTTTGCTCTGTAACTTCCTGCAAAAATGAGTGTAGTTTGCCTAGAGAGTTCAACAGTAATTGAATTTGTCGAAGACACGAAAGTCTTCGACAAATGTGTCAACGAACAATTTGCCATGCTAGATGGTGATGGCGATGGAGTGTTATCCCGTGATGATCTCCAGACGAGAACTGGAAAATTTGCATCTGTGGAGTTCGAGTTGCAATCCAAGGACGAGATTACAAATATGTATGATACCCTTTTTGAGAAATTTGATGTCGATCGAAATGGGAAGATTGATCGGGAAGAATTTAGATCATTGATGAGAGAAATTGTGCTAGCCAAGGCTTGTGGGCTCGGTCAATCGCCAGTTCTAGTAATTCTCCAAGGAGATAGCCTACTTATGAGGGCTGTTGAGTATGGCTTGACTAAAAGATGTTGAACGATTCAATTAATTAAATCTTTAGAAGAAGAAGAAGAAGAAGAAGAAATTGAAATGGGTACTCAAGCATTGTGCATAACAATATATTCTCCTTTTTGAATACAAATGTTGTTATGTATTTTTTTTGATTCGTCAAGAAGAAAAAATTTATTGATGTAAATCAAATAAGTACAGAGATTACATCAAAAATTGTTATTGATATGAGTGTTTCTTCTACAAGTAGGTGAAAAAAAGGTTATAAATGGCCTACATTCTTTTGGTTGGTACAAAAAAATTTTGAACAAGGATGAATGTTAAGAAATCCAATTCTTTGGTATCATAGTGTAAATAGTTTAATATACAAAAGTTATACGGAAAATGTGTACAACTACATAATGATGTGATGGATTTATATTTATTCATAATGTACATATTATTTAAGTGTAATTTTTTGTATAAATTTTTTAATTACAAATCATTTTCCCACTACATATAGATGTCGGAATTTTTATTTTTTCTCTTTTCTCCCCTAATATAATCTTGTTAAAGCCACCATTTAAAGTGGTTCTGCATATAGATAATATATATTTTTTTTATTTTGAACATTATTGTTTTGGCTAAAGATTTGGGATTGTTGCATATGTGCCCTACAAACCTGTTGGAAGGCAAAACGCTTTCTGAAAACAGTCCATTTTGTTTATCATCATTGTACTACTTTAATCAAAAGGGATGAGATTTAGGGGTTGTTTGGGATGACCTAAATAAGTATACTTTTTGTCTTTTTACGAAAAGATGTGCAGAAAAATAGAGAGGTGATGTGATGGAAAAAAAATAAAAAGATGGATTATTTTTGGGTTGCCAAACTTGGCCTTACTTGCAAAATTGACTTTAAGGCCAAGTTTAGCATCCTCAAAAAAATTTAAAAAGTCAAAAAATCACATAATCTTATTTAAGTCACATCACTTCAAACTCAACCCATACCCAACCCATATTTCACAAAAAGTTAAAAAGTACACTTATTCAAGACATCCCAAACAACCCTTAATATGAACCAAAGCATTCTAAGATTTACACGGAAATATAATCTCCTAATAAAGTGTAAGAATTCTGATCTATGACCTAATCCTGAAAAAGCCTTATAGAGGAGTTAGATCCGAAGCAATGGATGCTACAAGAAAGAAATATTTCAAAGCATTCACTTCTCAAAGAATTTGAACTAATTATACTACAATTAAAGCATTTTTGCCCAATCACTACATATACACACTACATTACAATGTCACACTCTCAAAGGTGTTCTTAAGTTCATTTGTTTTTCGTTTAATATGGTATCAATAGGCCACATATACATTTGAAAGTACATATCTACCTTGAGGTTATGATATATGATTGCATTATGGACCTATAAAATTATAGTTAATGCTAGACAGAGGTTGAGCCAAACAAACCTTAAAACTAATTCTTTTTGGCAATTAGATTATGAAAAAATTAGGGATTTAAAAATTTTGTGTGAAAAGTGAATAGAAAATATGGTCAGAATGAATGTGGTTAATCCACTTCATTTTTTTTTATCAATTTTAGTTAATTTTTATAACTCTCTAATGTTGTTGTTAAAATATTAAAAAAGATTTATCATTATTCTCAATGTTGGCCAGATAGACATAAAAGGGACTCTATTAATTATCTTTGCAGTCTAGGGTATTAAAATACTTTGTAATGTACTTAAAAGCACAAAAATAGGATATCTAAATGTTAATGTCCTTAATTAATGCTGTCACATTGGAAGCATAAAATTAATAAAGCACTAAGGTATCATAAAGCGTAATGTTAGGTATTATGAAAAAAAATATCATGAAAATGATCATAAAAAAATATTTTCCCTTTGCCTTTTAAAATCTAAATGTTTATTTCAACAAGAAATATTATTTGTAAAATATTTTTCAATTTTTTTGTTATTGGTATGATAAAAAATGAAATTTAACACAGTATTTTTTATAATCAGTGAACAACAATCTTATTTTGATAGAAAAAAAAATTTACTTCTAAAAGATTAAAAAAAATTCTAACTAAAATTTTATCAATATCACTACACTATTATTACTGCCAATACCTCCACCAACCCACTACTTCCATCACCACCACCACACTACCACCATTTTGTTAGGAAAAATATATGATTCCCCACAAGTAAATCAATCAATGGGAATAAAAACTAATACGGAAAAATTAAATCAAAAGTAACACAAGAATTTTACGTGGTTCCCTCAATGTAAAGTACGTCATCGGGATCGAAATCCGATTCCACTATCAATCAAATAAGTTTCCAAACGATTACAAACGAGACACGAATGGTCTCACAAAACCACCTTTAGGTGAATTACAAATAATCACAAATAAATAAGACGAAAGACCTCACCAAATAGATGAACAAAAGTCTTCAAAATTAGAGTTGAAGAAGACCAAAAATAACGAACCAAATTATCTTCAAAACAGAGCAACCAGAACACTGATAGTGCTTCCAAGAATCAAAAACCAAAGCACCCTTTGACCCAAAAGTGAGATTTTTTCCAAGCACAATCTCAGCCAAAAAAAACACCGTTTTTCTTCACACCCTCGGGACAAACACATAAACAATATATATATATATATATATGTATTGTGAATCTAGGATTTTTTTATCAAAATCTTAGTTGTTTTCAAATTGAATTGTGTCACCATAAAATTAGATATAATATATAAAAATATATTATAACTAATACCAAACCAAATTAAACTCTTTTAATAAACCAATTGGGTCCCACACTCCAATAAGGAGGTATACCCAACAATTCTCCCCCTACCGACTTAGGTGGAGACATCAACCATACCCACCAAAGTTCGACACTTTAAATGTTTGTCTCTTGACAAAGTCTTTGTCAACATATCCGAAATATTATCATCTGTGTGAACCTTTTCGAGTTGTAACAATTCCGAATCTAACACATCATGAATCCAATGGTACCTTACATCAATGTGTTTCGACTTTTCTTACTTCAAACCCAACTCTTGCAAAAATTTCTTCAACCATAACTCTTCTTTGCAAGCTTCTGTAATAGCAATAAATTCAACTTCAGCAGTCAAGAGAGTAACATATTTTTTGTAATTTAGATTGCCATGCCACAGCTCCCCATGCAAATGTCATCAAATATCCCAAAGTAAATTTCCTAGAATCAACATCACCAGCCATGTCAGAATCTGTAAACTCATCAAGCATCGACTTACCATCCCCAAAACACAAACATACCTTCGAAGTCCCTCGAAGATACCTTAGAATCCATTTTACCGCTGTCCAATATTCTTTACCCGGATTAGAAAGAAACTGACTCACTACACCAACGGCGTGAGCAATATCAGGCATTGTACAAACCATGGCGTACATCAAAGAACCAACCGCTGAAGCATAAGGAATTTTCAGCATATCTTCTTTGTCTTTCTCACTTGTAGGACATTGATTCGAACTAAGTTTGAAGTGACCCGCAAGTGGACAACCAACTGGCTTTGCTTTATTCATGTTGAACCTCTCAAGAACTTTCTCAATGTAGCTTTCTTGAGACAACCAAATCAGCTTCTCTTTGCGATCACGAACAATTTTCATACCAAGTATTTGCTTTGCCGGTCCCAAATCTTTCATAACAAAAGATTTGCTCAACTCCAATTTCAACCTGTTAATCATGGTAGAATCTTGACCCACAATTAACATGTCATCAACATAAAGCAAAAGAATAATAAATTTACCATCCGGGAAATTTTTCACAAACACACAATGGTTCGAAGTGGTCTTAAAAAAACCATTATTCATCATGAAAGAGTCAAATTTTTTGTACCATTGTCGCAGGGCTTGCTTGAGGCCATACAAACTTTTCTTCAATTTGCAAACAAATTTCTTTTTCCCTTTTTCCACAAAACCTTCTGATTGCTCCATGAAAAATTCTTCTTCAAGGTCACCATGAAGAAATGCGGTCTTCACATCAAGTTGTTCAACTTCAAGGTTCATACTTACAACCATGCCAAGTACAACCCGAATAGAAAACATCTTCACAACCGGCGAGAAAATCTCATCAAAGTCAATACATTTTTTTTGTCCAAAGCCTTTCACAACAAGACATGTTTTGTACCTCAGATTCTTCCTATCATTCTTCAATTTGAAAACCCAATTATTTTTCAGAATTTTCCTCCCTTTAGGCAACTTCACTAAATCATAAGTCTGGTTTTCAAGTAAGGAATTCATCTCCTCGTCCATTGTCTTTTTCCAATCACGTTTCTTTGCATGCTCAATTGCTTCTTGGTAGCTCTCAGGCTCGAAATGCGGTCTTCACATCAAGTTGTTCAACTTCAAGGTTCATACTTACAACCATGCCAAGTACAACCCGAATAGAAAACATCTTCACAACCGGCGAGAAAATCTCATCAAAGTCAATACATTTTTTTTGTCCAAAGCCTTTCACAACAAGACATGTTTTGTACCTCAGATTCTTCCTATCATTCTTCAATTTGAAAACCCAATTATTTTTCAGAATTTTCCTCCCTTTAAGCAACTTCACTAAATCATAAGTCTGGTTTTCAAGTAAGGAATTCATCTCCTCGTCCATGGTCTTTTTCCAATCACGTTTCTTTGCATGCTCAATTGCTTCTTGGTAGCTCTTAGGCTCCCCTTGATCGAAAATCAACACCAATTCATTGGGAGGATACTTTCTTGAAGGTTGTCGGTCCCTTGTAGATTTCCTCAACTCAAGCTGTGGTGGTAGTTCTTGAGTTGGATGCTCTTTCTCAATTTCTGGCTCAATTTCATTAGGATTAGCATCATCTTCTACATCTTCAATGGGTAGCTGCACATCTTCCACGTTTTCATCATCAACTGAAGATGAAGGAAATGAATCCATGTCAATGAAATCACTAGTTTTTGGCTCCGGTTGATCACTTTTGCCAAAGTCTTCAATTGTTTGGTCTTCATGAAACACAACATCACGGCTTCGAATAACTTT